TTTCGTAGTGACACTAAGACATGCGTTCCCTGTTTCCATTTTCATTCTCTCAGTGCAGTTTCCGAGCCTACAGGAAGCTCATGGCCTCACTGTTCTGACAGCATGTAAAAGTGGTACATTCTTCAGCTCTAAAAACATCTCTTAAAAAAATAACATATATATATATGGAATATTTCACAAATTCTCATGTCATCCTTGGGCAAAAAAAAAGTCTCTTTCAATTAGCACAGCCCATACAGTATATGCAACCCAAATAAACAAAAGTCCTGTAGGCACCACAATCATTGTCAAGAGTGTGAGAAGTTTCTGCCTCCAGAGAGTTGGAGAATCTCTTTGCCCTAGAGAGATTTGGGAGGATCCATGTAAAGCAGAGCTGTCTGGACTCCAAGTGGCAAATGTGTGTTCAGAGGTAGGAGGGGACCCTTGTCTCTGCCTCTAGACAGAACCCACTCGAGCTCTGCAATCCCAAAAAGCAAAGGTTTAGAGAACATCAGAACAGCCACATTAATGAAGAGCTAACACCCCGTGGGCTACGGCAAAACCAGTTATTAGGAAGGAGATGCACAGGAAGAAGGCCTGAGAATACGCAATCTTATTTAAGACTCAGACGCCCAGCTATCTTTACTACTTCCAATAGTCCTGAACTGGGAAGAGTATTTTTGTTTTCTTTCTTTTTTTTTTTTTTTTTTTTGCCTCCAAGCATGGTGAGACAGCTTTTAGAAAATCCATACACCAAGCCCAAAGGGAGAGTGGATGGGTGATGAAGTCACCATTTTTCTTCTGAGACAGCCATTTGTCATTAATTAACACAAACTATATTCAATTTCCCCAAGCTGCTGCCAGCTCTCTTACAAATTAGTTCACTTCAGCAAGATTTCACTGAAAATGTCAGTAAACTTATTTTTCCACTTAATTATTATCTAAATTCTAATCAAATTCCAACTGACAATTTCTGTATCTGTACAAACTAATTCTAAATTCTTAAGGAGGAATATATTTAAAGAATAAAGCTTTTAAAAACACTTGTGGTTTAGCAACAGGGTCTTACTGTGTTGCCCAGGCTGTAGCACAGTGGCACAATCACAGCTCACTGCAGCCTTGAACTCCTGGGCTCAAGTGATCTTCCTGCCTCAGCCTCCCCAGTAGCTAGAACTATAGGAGCCTATAACCCCCTCTTGGCTAATTTCTTTTACTTTTATTTTTCAAGAGCTGGTGTCTTGCTGTGTTGCTCAAGCCGGTCTTAAACTCATGGCCTTAAGGAAATCTCCTCTCTCAGCCTCCCAGAGCACTGAGATTATGTGGGTAAGCCACTGTGCCTGGCCCTATCCTTAAATCTTCTCAAGAGAATAATGCAGAAAAGGTTACCTAAGCAGTAAAACTTGTTTTAAAACAAAATTAAGGAAAAGAACATTGTGGTATTTTTGTGAGAAGAATTGACAGATAAGTTAATAGGAAAGAGTTATATGAGACACATACCCCTCCACACCACTCATGGAAATGTAGGTGATATTTTCAATACAGAATACATCACAAACCAAAAGGTAAAGATGATTCAGTGTGACTAGTGTTTAAAACATTTCAATGTCAACTCAAGTTAGAACTTTACCTTACACTTTACACCAAAGATACATTCCATATGTATCAGAGAGTTAAATATTTTTAAAATAAAACACAAAAGAAAATATGTGTGAATCTCTACTCAATCCTTATAGAAAAGGACTTTCTAAACATTTAAACAACAAAAAATAAAAGAAAAAAGTATTGTTAAGTTTGAATGTTGAAACATAATATAATAGCCACATTATATAGCAAAAAATAAGGCCAAAAACTGGAAAGATTCATAGTAAGCGTGATATAAGGTAAAGTGTCTTCATATATAAAGACCACCTGTTCAAGAGTGAAACCCAGAAAGACTCAAAATCCTTTTAAAATATGAAAATGACTAAACAGAAAATTCACAGAACTAATACAAGTGATTGACACATTTGAAATTAGGTTGAACCTCACCAATTGGTAAAATAAGAAAGCACATTTTACCCATCCATGCACTAAGGGTCTGTGGATGGCAGCTTCCAGTGCTAGCAAGAATACATTGAAAAGAGCACACATATATTTTCCTTCATGAGGTAAATCTGGAAGTACACATCAAGAATCTTTAAGAAGACTTAGAATTCAAAAGAACATTGTTAATCAGAGAAGCTAAGTTTACTATGTACAGTAATGCACCCCACAGCATCATCACTGCAAACCTAGACGATGCTTAGCATCTCCCAGTCTCAATTCCTCAAGTGAACACCAGGAATAGTAACCTGCTTGCGTATTTTTTATATATGGAAAGCACTTGAACTAGAGCTTGGCATAGAGCGGGCACTTAATCATTCTTGTTTTGTTTGTTTGAGAAGAGAGTCTCAATGTGACGCCCAAGCCAGAGTGCAGTGGTGCAATCTCAGCTCACTGCAACCTCCACCTCCTGTGTTTAAGCAGTTCTCCTGCCTCAGCCTTCGGAGTAGCTGGGATTACAGGCACACACCTGTAGTAGAGACAGGGTTCCGCCAGGTTGATCAGGCCGGTCTCAAACTCCTGACTTCAGGTGATCCACCCGCCTCAGCCTTTCAAAGTGCTGGAATTACAGGCATGAGCCACTGCATCCAGCCCAGTGCACTGTTGTTTTTACCATCTTTTGCTGTTCCAGCAAAATTCTGACGGCAATTTCTGGCTGCTGTTTCACTGTGAGTCTCCTGCTAAGTAACACCTGATAGATGTAGGACACTTGCAGCTCCCAGCAGGCCACAAGAGAACTGTTTCCATTCAAACATTGACAATTTTGAAAGCAGAGGGATTTGAAGGAATATATACATATATAACAAATTCACTTATTGAGACTATTCCCTTAAGATGGTAGATAATTGAGGAATGCTATTTTTATAATAGATATTTACATTCATAATTACTGATTTCCGATTGCCAGTACATGTGGCAAAATAATTTTGGGGGATGATGTGTGCTCAAGTGTGAGAAACATAAAGATACAAGATAAATATAATACACACACACACACACAGACATATAGGATGAAAATATATATGAGCTATATAAATACATAGATTTATACAGATATATATTATATCTAATTGCATATAAAGATGTAGATAGAAATGAAGATATCAGATAAAATTAGTCACTTTATGAAAGAATTCATGGTCACCCATTAGACTCCAAATCTTACCTAATAGCTAAAATGTAATTAATTGGACTTTTAAAGGTACAATTCACATTCAGTATCTCAGGGACACATATATTTCAATACGTGAAGTAGACATGACACATTTACTTAAATTTGAAAGTCATAGTAATTAATGCCTGCTAATCTCCCTGCACAAATTCTGAAATACCAACACCTAGCCATAAATAGCTTGAAAGTGTGACCACAAAGAATGTGCCCATAGGCGGATTATCTTAGGGAGATTAACCTGCTTTTTCAATTTATTCAGTTATTAGAATCTTAAAATTTAAGTACTAACATTTTCAAAGTACTAAAAAGACCCCAACACAATAATAACTCAGAAAACTTGGACAGATAAATATAGTGACTTTAAAACCATAGCCGTTTACAAAGGAATTCAGAAAGAATTGAATTTGATTCAAAGAGGTTTAAATCAACGACTGACTACCAGAATGAAAACAATGCTTTGATCGAGTTTTTTGAATTTTAAAACCTCATGTGAACTACAGTGTTATCCTATGTTCATCAGAGTCATTTATCAGTATATCCATCCACTTTCAGAATGGGGGGTCGGGGGGGAAGCTGTTACATCAGCATTTTTTTAACCTTCTCCTTTCTACACATTCGGCCTTTCTTGTGTGTGTCTTATAGAAAATTTGCATTTAGAGAAAGGAAATTTTAATCACTTGAAAAAACACCCTCTTGACCACACCAAATCTTTCACTCCAAATCCCAAGCCATTCAAACATGACCCACGTTATAGAAATGAGGGAACAATGGCCATATACTCTGCTTCCTCCCGCTAAACTCAATTTAGTGATTATATATATATTTTTTTTCTTTTTTTTTTTCTGGCCTTGTCTCAGTCTCTTCTATGGATCAATTTTCCCCACACTCAGTAATGAGATGAGGTAAGCCATATCTTTTCCAGATTACAGAGGCCAGGTTCCAGATTCCAGATTTGCAAGGCAAAGGTGGAGAGGAAACAAGAAGACTCTAAAATAAGCATGGAGGCAAACACTCCTTGCTCTCAGCTTTGGCCCACCAGTAAACACACGCTCACAACGTTTCTCCTTTGTAGATTCTGAACAAGTTTCATGAGCCAGTATCTCACAAACATCTGCCTTCATTATAATTATATTTCTATTTCAGCTGCACCAAGCTATTTACAGATGAGCCTGTTCATAAAGAGCTTTATAATTAAGCAAACAGAAATATCTTTTTATAGGATGCAGATCTAGGGGTGATAATCACACACAAAATACACAGCAACAGTTGCAAATAGAGTGTTTAACGCTAGTTATATAGTTAGTGATGTGCTCAATAAAGCCTGACATGTCTTTGTTCCTAAATACGAGAAAATATGGTCTTTGCTACACAGCAATGTAAACTGTCTTCTTTTCCTATTTTTTTAAGCAAAGGCCATATTTTTCAGGGTGGGTTCTTAAAATGTATGTGTGTATGTGTTTTATCTAACAACAGGGTTATAACACACATTATCTGGCTTAGTAGGGCTTAAAACATGCCTGGGATTTGGAGAGAGCTGATTCGAAATATAAGCAGCAACGTATGGTGGCACAGAGTGTGACAGATTAAATTAGTAGATAGTAGAGATTATCTGATGGTACTATAGAAGTTGCTGGCAGACCAAAAGAAACCTACAATACTTATCGCAGCAGAAAAAGGGATTGCTCATGTTCCAGTAATATCTGCCTAAACCCTTGGACATTTCCCAAGAAGGCCAATCTTTGCTCTTGAAAATTCCCATAACTCTTACCTGAAACCTTCCCCTGTCTCAATGCTTCAAAGCTGTCCTTTGCAGAAAATGTTTGTAAATCTTGTTGACCATCCCGAAGTCATGAAATCCCAAACACTGGATAGGAAAAATAGCCATTGTTTGCTAAGATTCAGCCTTGGCACAGAAAGGGTCATAAATATCAAACAGCACTTTGTTTTAGAAGATATATGGACAGCTCATACACTGCTCCCGAGGGTATGCAGTGGTGCAATGCTTTAGAAAATGATCTTAATTTGAAACACACACACACACAGAATAAAAGAGTGAGTCTAATAATAGTAATGCCCTTTGACCTGGCAATTCCAGTTGTTCAAATAATTATGAAGAAAAGAAAATGCAAAAAGCATCAATAAAATAACTTATCCAGCAAGAGATTTATAATATTGTTTACTATTGTCATAAAATAAAAATAGAAGGTCCTCATTGTCCAACTATAGGGAAATGGTGAAATAATTTATGGCAGGTTTATTCAGTGGAATATCCGACAGCCATAATATATTTACTGTCTAAAAGTTCATAATGATTTGGAGGAATGTTTACTATACAATATTAATGAATAAAAGTAGGATGAATGACACAATATAATCTCAACTGCATATATATGAAAGTATAATATGAGGAAATACATCAAAATATTTAAAGTGATTAAATTAGGGAAACGGGCATAGACAGATTTCATTTTATTCTTGTTAGTTAAATGTGTTTTCCAAATTTTCTATAATAAACATCTACAAATTTCAGGTTCAATAACGGGTATTTTTGAAACCATAACCAATCTCAATGTCCCTCATAATGATAAAATTGGGGTTGCTTAGCTTTATTGTAGATGGCTGGCATCATGTTTTCTGAGAATCGACTCAAGTAACCAAACACTTTCTGTGACCAAAGTTTAGCTGTGTCTCTGGTCCACTTTCTCCCAGTCTGCTAAAATATGCATGGGAGGATTCCAAGGTTTGAAGCATGTGTTCCAAGTATAACTATATTTGTTCTTTAAGAAAAGGAAGATAAGACGGCGTGGTAGCACACACCTGTAATCCCAGCTACTCGGGAGGCTGAGGCAGGGGAATCACTTGAAGCTGGGAGACAGAGGTTGCAGTGAGCCGAGATCACCCCATTGCACTCCAGCCTGGGTGACAGAGTGGGACTCTGTCTCAAAAAACAAAAAGAAGAAGAGAGTACTGAGAGGGACACCCCTGGCTCTGGCGCGGCCTGTGCTGTTTCAACAGTTTGTCTCTCTTTTGCTTGAGTCTTTCTCCTGGTCTGTGTACGTGTGTATGTTTCCTACTTTCCTCCAAGCCTCCACATCTGCTCCTTAGGCCTTTATCTCTCCATAATGTGTAATGAAAGAGGGAGAACAGAAATCTATTGAGTTCCTTCAATGTGCCTAGTGACATTCAGTCTTGTGAAATCTTTCCATCTTCACTCCATTCATAAGGAATTGTTACCATAACCCCATCTTAAAGGTGAGCAGAAGTCCCAGCATGGTTGCTCACACCTATAATCCTAGCACTTTGGGAGGCCAAGGCACAAGGATCCCTTGAGCTTAGGAGTTCGATGCCAGCCTGGGCAACATGGTGAGACCCCATCGCTACAAAAAATTTAAAACATTAGCTAAGTGTTGTAGCACATGCCTGTAGTCCCAGCTACTCAGGAGGCTGAGACAAGAGAAATGCTTGACCTCAGGAGGCTGAGGCTGCAATGAGCCGTGATGGTGCCTGAGCCCAGGAGGCTGAGGCTGCTATGAGCCGTGATGGTGCCACTGTACTCCAACCTGGACAACACATTCTGAGATCCTGCCTCAGAAAAAAGAAAAGGATGAACAGATAAAGGCAAAGGGAGTTTGTTCGAAGCTATCCTGCTCTTAGGGATATAGCAGAAATTTAATATTGGTCTGTCTAAATCCCAGCTGACTAAGTGAATCAATTCTTCTCCCATGTTTTCCATGTTGTGTCTCTGATATTGGACTTAAAAGACCCACTGTAGGGGGACGTTGGTGTGAACTTCAGCAAACAGAGCATGCTTCCAAGTTCAAATACAACCCAGTGCTTATCAGTCACCCACCAATTTACCCAATCCTCTCAGCCTACTTCCAGGTTTCATAACTTAAACAGTTAAATGTATTATAAAGTAGAAAAAATAAAATAAAATAAAATAACACCAAACCAGTTTAAAAGATCAGACTGTTACTCAGCCTCAGATTGCCCCAGCCAGTGGGTATATTCTTCCTTAAGATTTCTTGATGGGGATAGCGTTGATTCTGTAAATTACTTTGGGCAGTATAGCCATTTTCACGATGTTAATTCTTCCTAACCATGAACATGGAATGTTTCTCCAGGACATAGGAGTAGGCAAGGACTTCATGAACAAAACACCAAAAGCATTGGCAACAAAAGCCAAAATAGACAAATGGGACCTAATGAAACTCCACAGCTTCTTCACGGCAAAAGAAACAGTTACTAGAGTGGATCGGCAACCAACAGAATGGGAAAAAATTTTTGCAGTCTACCCATCTGACAAAGGGCTGATATCCAGAATTTACAAAGAACTCAAACAGATTTACAGGAAAAAAACAAACAAGCCCATTCAAAAGTGGGCAAAGGATATGAACAGATACTTTACGAAAGAAGACATATATGAGGCCAACAATCATATGAAAAAATGCTCATCGTCACTGGTCATCAGAGAGATGCAAATCAAAACCACATTGAGATACCATCTCACGCCAGTTAGAATGGTGATCATTAAAAAATCTGGAGACAACAGATGTTGGAGAGGATGTGGAGAAAAAGGAACACTTTTACACTGTTGGTGGGAGTGTAAATTAGTTCAACCATTGTGGAAGACAGTGTGGCGATTCCTCAAGGCCTTAGAAATAGAAATTCCATTTGACCCAGCAATCCCATTACTGGGTATATATCTAAAAGACTATAAATCGTTCTACTATAAGAACACATGTACACGAATGTTCATTGCAGCACTGTTTACAATAGCAAAGACCTGGAATCAACCCAAATGCTCATTGATAATAGACTGGATTGGAAAAATGTGGCACATATACACCATGGAATATTATGCAGCAATCAGAAATGATGAGTTTGTGTCATTTGTAGGGACATGGATGAATCTGGAAAACATCATCCTCAGCACACTGACACAAGAACAGAAAATGAAACACCGCATGTTCTCACTCATAGGTGGGTGATGAAAATGAGAACACATGGACACAGAAAGGGGAGTACTAAACAGTGGGGTCTATTGGGGGGAAAAGGGGAGGGCCAGTGGGAGGGGGCGGTGGGGAGGGATAGCCTGGGGAGAAATGCCAAATGTGGGTGAAGGGGAGAAGAAAAGCAAAGCACACTGCCATGTGTGTACCTACGCAACTGTCTTGCATGCTCTGCTCATGTACCCCAAAACCTATGATCCAATAAAAAATTAAAAAAAAGATTTCTAACCACTGCTTGAAGAGCTCCTTCCTTTCAGTTTCATTAAACTCGCATCCCTTTTGTTTAAAGGTATGTTTTCTGATTGCTGATGTCCGGGATTTGGCAAACTTGAACACAGACATTCAGGTTTACTGTCTTTTACAATGTGTGGGCCTGGAGTACATTCCCTGGGATTCCCAGATCAAAGCATGTCCAGGCCTCTTGCCCTATCTGAAGACATCAGGTAGTTTTCCTGAAATGAAACTACCTAGATTTGCATGGTAGTTCTGGATTTGAATGGACTATGGCTCTGTATTAGTCCATTCTCATGCTGCTGATAAAGACTTATGTGAGACTGATTTATAAGGAAAAAGAGGTTTAATTGACTCACAGTTCCACATAGCTAGGAGACCTCACAATTATGTCAGAAGGCAAAAAGCACATCACACATGGTGGCAGACAAGATAAGAGAGCTTGTACAGAAAAAATCCCCTTCTTAAAACCATCAGATCTCATGAGACTTAGTCACTATCACCAGAACAGCATGGGGAAGACCCACACCTATGATTCCATTACCTCCCACCAGGCCCCTCCCACAACATGTGGAAATTGTGGAAGCTATAATTCAAGATGAGATTTGGGTGGGGACACAGCCAAACTATATCAGGCCCTTTCTCCAGCATTTTCAGTCTTTTTATCATGCCTGCCTTCTTTTCTGAAAACAAATAAACAACAACAATGAAACCATTCTCCAAAAGCCCCATCTCAAGAAGGAATTCTTACTTGCTCAGATGCTCCTCTATCTGCCATTCTGATTCTCTCTGTTCATAGTTCATGTATTAATATCCTCTCTTGGAACCCTGGAATGTAGCGGTCTCCTGGCAGGATGTCAGCTGTGTGTGAGGCCGGCTTGTAGACATAGAAGCTCTACGGTCACACAGGCTCTGTACCTAGGAGGATCGCATGCTTAGTCTAATACTCACTTGGCTGTCACCATCTAAAAAGTCTTATGAATTTTCGATTTGCACTGGACTCAAACCTGCCCACTAGTCTGGAGCCATCACCTGTAGTCCCAGCTACTCAGGAGGCTGAGACAAGAGAAATGCTTGACCTCAGGAGGCTGAGGCTGCAATGAGCCGTGATGGTGCCTGAGCCCAGGAGGCTGAGGCTGCAATGAGCCGTGATGGTGCCACTGTACTCCAACCTGGACAACACATTCTGAGATCCTGCCTCAGAAAAAAGAAAAGGATGAACAGATAAAGGCAAAGGGAGTTTGTTCGAAGCTATCCTGCTATTAGGGATATAGTAGAAATTTAAATTTCGGTCTGTCTAAATCCCAGCTGACTAAGTGAATCAATTCTTCTCCCATGTTTTCCATGTTGTGTCTCTGATATTGGACTTAAAAGACCCACTGTGGGGGGATGTTGGTGCGAACTTCAGCAAACAGAGCATGCTTCCAAATTCAAATACAACCCAGTGCTTATCCCAGGTGGTCTTGATTCGCCACCTGGCTGTGTCTTGGGTTCTCTGCTGGCAAGTCTCTGGAATACTCACACTGCTCAGAGCCGCTGCTCCTGAGCCTCCTTTGCTGCTGTTGTGTTCTGTTTCTTTCCCTGTTCTCCTTCTGACCCAGTTTGGCATCACAGATCTCCTCTAACTCCCAGGGCACTGCTGCTCCGTATCCCTCTGCTTTGCCGTGCCTAGCTTTACCCTAAGGCAGTCCCATGCTTCCATACTGGCCTTTTCTTTCTCTTTGTTCTCATTTTATAGCTCACACTACTCCTAAAGCTGCATCTCTCACCTTGATGTGAACGACTTTTTAAAAAATTATGTTTTCCACAACTTTTCTCTCCACCACGTTAACCCTAAAGTTCCAGGTGCTGATTTGCTTTAACTCAACTCTCCCCAGCAAATTGAGCTCAGCAGATAGAAAATCCTACTCATCACTGCCCTCTTTAAACTGGTGCTTTCTACAAATTTCTTTCTTTGATCAGGGAAACTGTCATTGTACATGAGACCTACACTTCGGTATAATTTCTGAAATATTTCCCATGGTTACTTCTCTCAACCAATCTATCATTGAGTCAGCATACATTAACTTTTTTTAATAAGGGGATAACATACAGCATTTATTAAAGAAATGAAAAATAGCATTGATTACATCCACTCTTTATCACTTAAGAAGTGTATGTCATGCCTATCCTATGTCAGTCACTGTTAGGACACAAATATGAATAAAGCGTTTTCCAAATGTCTCAAGCACGCATTAACTCTTACAGAAAGCCCAGTGTCACAAACCTCCCAAAGCCAAGTTCATTGCATCCACAGCTACATCCTGCTTTTTGGTTATGTCTGAGCCTCCCGTGGTTAGAGTTAGCAAAGGCTCTAAGGTTTTTCGCTCATAACTTCAGATGGCATATCATAATGAAAATAAGCCTCGGTCTGAATTCTGACACATACGCACTTATTAGTAAGTAGGCACAAGTGGCATCCAACAACCTGTTGTGTTGGAGGCATGAAGCTCAGCTCGCCGTCCTTTCCAACACTGCTTTGTGTGAAAAATTCACTTGGTGCTGATGTGACAATATTCTAGCAGCACCATTCAGCTGACATTCTAGTTCAAGTCAGGTGACAAAAATCCTTCCAGAATCAGCTAAAAACAGTCAGGCTTGGAACCCTAAGCTGAGGAGCCTATTTCAGAGGATGCCAGCAATTAGGCTCACTGGATTTTTCTTCCTTGTTCACAGAAGAGCAGAATTGACTACATAATATCTCAAGCCAGTCCACATTTATTTCTTCATCAGTTTTATATAGGGAGTATTTTAATAATGTATTGAGGACTGATGAGCCACCAGCTGAACAACAAAAACGCTAATAAACAATAAACAGGCTAATACCTTGAAAGTAAGCCACATCAGCGGTGCTTCCATTTCAAAACCAGTTTCACCCAGAATAACCAGAACAGTGGGATCAATGTTCCTTTGCTTTCCTGTTCACATTCGCCTATTGTACCCGCATGTGTGCCCAAAAAAAGCATGTACGCATATTGCTTAACTTTTTAGAATTTTGTATTTTGTAATAATTTTATTACATAAAATTTACATAAAAGTTACAAAAATCATACAGTTTCCATACATCTTTCAATCAGTTTTCCCTAATATTTATACCCTAAACACATAATGAATGAACAGAACTGATTTCATCAGGGCCATTGTGTTAACTCTACTACATGCTTTGTTTGATTTTTCCTGGTTTTCCTAATTTTTTTTTCTGTTCCAGGATCTATTCTGGGTTTTTTTACTTTGCATTCAATTTTCACATCTCCTAGTCACCTTTAAAATGCTCCAGGACAGTTCCTCAGTTTTCCCTTTTATCTCATGAGTATGGCTTTTTAAAGAGTACTTGTCAAGTCATTTTACAAAATATACTTTGATACAGTGTGGTCTGATATTGAGAACACAGACACATACACACACACGTACACACACATACACATACATACGCACACATACACACATATATACATACACACACATACACATACACACACACATATATATGGATATATATAGTAAGAATATCATGCAAGTAACATTCATTTAGGTGGGTCACATCAAGGAGTTCAAGGTATCTAAATGTCATACTACTAGTGTCGTTAACCTCAATTACTTGGTTGAGGTGTTTCTCCCATTTAAAATTACTTTGTTTTGCAACTAATATATGTCTTAAAGAAGATTATTTGAGATTATTGAAACACCTTCTTTTAACTTTTAATTTTTGTGAGTACATAGGTGTTTATGAGTATATATACTATGCCTGTATCAAATATCATGTGCCCCACAAATATATATACTATGCCTGTATCAAATATCATGTACCCCACAAACATATATACTATGCCTGTATCAAATATCATGTGCCCCACAAATATATATACTATGCCTGTATCAAATATCATGTACCCCACAAATATATATACTATGCCTGTATCAAATATCATGTACCCCACAAATATATATACTATGCCTGTATCAAATATCATGTACCCCACAAATATATATACTATGCCTGTATCAAATATCATGTACCCCACAAATATATACATATAATGCATATTTTAGTTTTAATTATTTTAAACTTAAAGATATGTTGGATGTGGTCTTTGGGACCCACTGTTTTCACCTATAGTAAGGTACTAATATTTCTCCACATTGTTGCATGTGGTAGTAGTTCGCTCTATTTTATATCTATGTATTCATTCACTTTCTAGTTAATGGACAAATTTAGGTTACTCTCAATATTGCTGCAAACATTCTTGTACAAATCTTTTGTTACATATATATATATACATATATGGAAGTTTTTCTTGAGTATAAATGGAGTTGTGGATATACTGGGCCAACAGGACAAAATGAAGGTTTAAGAGAAAATGCCAAATTGTGTTTTTTCAGTGTCCAGTACAATGTCTGCTAAGTAACAATCAATAAATGTTTGTTGGTTTTTTGTGCCTATTGGTCAGGCACAGTGGCTCACACCTATAAACCCAGCACTTCGGGAGGCCGAGGCAGATAGATCACCTGAGGTCGGGAGTTTGAGACCAACCTGACCAACATGGAGAAACCACATCTCTAAAAAACAAACAAAAAACAATGAAATTAGCCAGGCGTGGTGGTACATGCCCGTAATCCCAGCTACCTGAGAGGCTGAGGCAGGAGAATTGCTTGAGTCCGGGAGGTGGAAGTAGTGGTGAGCTGAGATCACTCCATTGCACTCCAGCCTGGGCAACAAGAGTGAAACTTGTTGAGAGAGAGGGAGAAAAAAAAAGAGAGAGAGAGAGAGAGAAAAAAAAAAAAATCTGTACTTTGAGTGACCTAGAACAACTGAAGGCTTATATATATATTTGTTTAGCCAAACTGAGCATCCTGTCATTCCCCAAATATTAAGGCGGGGATTCACTTGGCCACTCCCCCTTAGCATCTCCATAAAGACATCTTACTCAGCTGTGTCTGTGATGGGAGAGAATGCTATAATCTTAAGAATCCCTAAGCATTTTGCTAACACTTATTTTATAACACTTATTCTTAGCAGTTTCTTTTACAAACAGATTCATCTCTCTGTTGTCTATGTGCTGTCTGAGAGCAAGAACTATTATATTAGTCATCTCTTTTACCAGGATCTGAGGCCAAGCCTAGAACAGAACAGGTGCTCGGGAAATCTATGTTGTGTGAATTTCTAATCCAAAAAAAAAAAAAGAAAAGGAAAAAAAAAAAACAAAATTTAAAAATCCTCCCATGGAAAAATTCTTATAAGAAAGTTACTTTTGTCTATAACCCTTATAAAACTTCATGATGTCCAGTCTAGAAACATTATAGTTTTTTTTTAAAAGAAAAAGCCCAAATAATGATTCATGCCTGTTTCAGTGAATAGGAAAGCGCAATTCTTACTATTTTTCTTTTCTTTTTTTTATCTAAACCCATAAATGTCAGGGACTATCCCATGCTCCTTAAAAATTGCCCCCAACCCAGGTACAATGTATCCCTCATCTACACCAACTGGGCATGGGTATCTTGGCATCTTTTCTGCCTCTTCATTTCTCCTCTGCCACAAGACATATGAGCCTCACCTTTCTCTTTGTCCAAAGCCTTCGGTTTTCCTAGGTCACTCAAGGTACAGATTCCCTGACGGTTTAGTTCTTACTCTGCCTGGCTGCTTTTATGGAGAGAATGTTCCCAGCCTTGATTGTGCTTTCTTGCTTTGAAATTCCAAGGAGGAAAACAAATGAAACGGATGATCCGTCGATGCTCTGTTGTGGTCAGAGTTGCAGTGGGGAGGGGAGGAGACCCTCACGTGAATACGCTCTTGCTGCTGTGGCTCTGTAACATTATCATGCATTCATATTATGTCCAGGGATAGACCATATTTGTAAATATAAATTATTCTGCAAGTCCAACTTTAATGTCTTTAAATATTACCTTTTCCATCATCCTTTCCTGGCCTGAAACAAACCAAGGCGTATAAGCTGCCATGTTCTGTCTTCTGTCATTCACAATCACAATCATCATAGCATTTTATTAATTTCATAGCTAGAAGAGTCTTGAATGAACTGCACTTATATTCACGGTCCTAGAGCTCACGTCCATCTGTAACACATGCTCAGATATGGCAGACCACACACATTCACATAGGTGAGGCTTTTCCTCAACATCTTAGCGCAACCCTTCATTTATTCTTATGTTTCAAAAAACATGTACCAGAGAAGGAAAAAAAATAGATGTTATCATCTATTATCTATTTTTAAAAGTCTATTCTGTTAAGGGTAAAAGAGGAGGTAGGGTGATGAAGAGAGAGTAACTATATTCAAATGATGTTATGATTATGTCATAATCATATTCTTGGAACTCATTACTCAAGAGTTCCAATCTACCTCTGCTCTGTGATTGTGTGTGTGAGGATCCAGTGCAAGACAGAGAAACTGTTCCAGGTATTTGGAGCACAAATAGGTTTAATACAAGGAAGTAGATGCTCATAAAATCAGTAGACAGATCAAGGAATGGGCGTGAGGGGGCTGCTGCTGAGCTATTCACAGGACTATAGAGAAGGAGCCAGAGGAGAGGAGGCTGCTGCTGACTCCACTGGCTCTGCTGGCTCCCTGAAACTAGGCATCAGGACTCAAAAAGCACTCCCATGAGAACCACCTCCTTGCTTTCAGAAGCTGAAGGAGGTGGCCCGCAGCCGCTACTCCAGATCTGCCTTCCACATTTTCCACAGGTTTTTCTGACTGTGGCAGGCAATTCTTAGTCAAATCTCCAGCTACTCGCAAGTATCCTTTGCAGCTTCCTGACTTCTCCCAACAGAGAAGGTGAAATGGGGTGAGAGAGCCAAGCCACCACGTAGTAAAATGAATTGTTTCCCTGTTGCACAGGGTAGTATTTAAGCTCACCCTCTTCTCTACCAGTCCCATCACTCAGACTGTTCCTTCTGGAGCAATTCTGTTAATATCTGAGCCTTGGTTTTTGTAGCAGCAAGGTATTGTCCTTGCCCATTTGTTGGAAGTATTGAATATAATGCATACACGGGACTAGTACAGTGCCTGAAACGAGGTAGGCACTTGATAAATTGAAAGTCTTACTGGCGGGCGCGGTGGCTCAAGCCTGTAATCCCGGCACTTTGGGAGGCCGAGGCGGGTGGATCATGAGGATCGAGACCATCCTGGTCAACATGGTGAAACCCCGTCTCTACTAATAATACAAAAAAAAAATTAGCTGGGCATGGTGGCGCATGCTTGTAATCCCAGCTATTCAGGAGGCGGAGGCAGGAGAATTGCCTGAACCCAGGAGGTGGAGGTTGCAGTGAGCCGAGATCGCACCATTGCACTCCAGCCTGGGTAACGAGAGCGAAACTCCGTCTCAAAAAAAAAAAAGTCTTACTGCCCTCCCTCAAGAATGATACAGTGTAAATATCAATCAATTGCAAACACTGACCAAACACCAGCTATGTCCTTAGATGCTTCCATGACCCCATTCCAGTTAATCATCATAACAACCCCATGGTGTGCATCTTGAAACATCTGTGTGGTTGATGAGGAACCAAGGGTCAGAGAGAACATGTACCTGATCCAAGGTGAAGGCAGGGTTCCCTTCTCTTACCTCCCCACCCAATTCTAACACACACATACATCTGAATAAAATGCCATGTATTTTTCTTATGCCGCTAGAGAAGGGCTAGTTTTTCTTTTTCTGTTTTGTTTTGTCTTTGAGACTGAGTCTTGCTCTGTCACCCAGGCTGGAGTTTGGAGTGCAGTGGCACAATACTGGCTCACTGCAACCTCCACCTCCTGGGTTCAAGTGATTCTCCTGCCTCAGCCTCCCAAGTAGTTGAGATTACAGGCATGCGTCACCATGCCTGGCTAATTGTTGTATTATTAGTAGAGATAGGGTTTCACTGTGTTGGCCAAGCTGCTTTTACCATGTTGGCCTCACCCTCCCAAAGTGCTAGGATTACAGGTATGAGCCACCACGCCTGGCCACAAGGGCTAATACTGATGTCAGAGTCTTCTGCTCTCTCCCCTCCTTATGACATGTAGAAATGGAGAAAGTGTGGCATCTGTGATCACCGCCCTACTGTCTGCACATTTTCACCTCACTCTCCATTCTTGATCTCTTTGCAGCTTTATACTAAACTATTTCATTTGTTTGCATGGACAGAGAATCTTCCAGCTGTGTCATTCTTCCTTCTCTCCCAGCCTCCCAGCCCTGGGCAACTCATTCATTCATGGAGGGAGCACCGTCTACTAGTGTCCACTGAGCTAGGTGCCCTGATAAAGACTCTGAGATGAGCAAAGCTTAGACCCTCCCCTCTAATGTACATGCAGTCCTGTGAGGGATGAAAGGATGTGCACCCAAGTGACTGCAGTGACATTTGAGAAAACATTATTAAAATGCTTGACCTCAGACTGCAGGAACTCTGAAGGGCATGAGTGAGTCTACCCCATGACAGGGGAGAGGAGGCAGGATCAGGGAGACTTCACACAGAAAGTAACTTTTATAACAGCTTTATTGAAGTGTGATTGATGTACAAAAGCTGCATGTATTTAATGTGGACAATTTAAATTGGATGAGTTTGAATATACATAAACACCTGTAATACCATCACCAAAACTGAGGTAATAGACATAGCCAACACCTCCCAAAGATGCCTGTGTCCCTTTTGTTTTGTGTCTGTGGTAAGGACATGTAACATAATATCTGCTTTTTTAACAAATTTTGAGTTCACAATACTGTGTGTTAACTAAAGGCACTGTACTGTGTAGAGCAGCATAGATCTCTAGAAGTTACTCATCTTCCATAACTGAAACTTTATGCTCACGAAACAATTCATTTTCTCCACCCAGCCCCCACCGACCCCAGCTCCTGGCAACCACTCTTGATTCTCTATTTCTATGAATTTGACTGTTTGTCTTTGTTTTGTTTTACTTTTTTTTGAGATAGGGCCTCACTCTGTTGCCCAGGCTAGAGTGCAGTGGGGCAGTCACGGCTCACTGCAGCCTCCACCTGCTGGGCTTAAGTGATCCTCCCACCTCAGCCTCCCAAGCAGCTGTGACTACAGGCACATGCCACCATGCCAGGCTAATTTTTTAAAATTATTTTTTTGTGAAGATAGAATCTCACTATGTTGCCCAATCTTGTCTTGAACTCCTGGTCTTAAGCTATCCTTCCACTTTGGCCTCTCAAAGTGCTGGGATGACAGGTATGAGCGCCTGTGCCTGGTCCAAGAGTTTGACTGTTTAGATTCCTCATATAAGTGTAATCATGCAGTGTTTGTACTTCTGTTCTTGGTTGATTTTACTTAACAATTTGTTTCACAGCTTCATCCATGCTGTTGTAAATGGCAAGATCTCTTTCTTTTTTAAGGCTGAGTAATATTCTATTGCATAGATGCAGCACATCTTCTTTACCCACTCACTTGTAGATGATGAACATGGGAATGCAGATGTGTCTTTGCGATCCTGATTTCAATTTTCAGGAAATGTACCCAGAAGTGAAATCACTGTGTCACATGGCAAACCTCAACTTTGATGAATGATATATTTTACCAAGTGGAAAGAAAAGCATGGGGTTCCTGAAGTTTAGGATGGAGTCCCAAAGAGGCCCTCAGTCTTTGCACCTTCACCTTAGTAAACCCTGCTGACACCATGTGGATGATGTCTGGACATCAGTGGGATACTACATTTTGAGAGGAAATAGGGGTATGCTGAAAAATTTCAAATGACTTGTGTCTCTTAAGTCCCGGAAGTGCTAACCCATTGCTATTGGAAGAACGGAAATGCCATCTGGCCCCAGATATGATAGATACCATGACAACACTCAGGGGGAGTGAAAGCATAAACAGGAACTGGGGCCAGAAGATCCTGACTTGGAGAATGGTGAGTCCTTGGATGCTCCTCTGTATGATTAATGGGGGGTTGGGATAAGGGTGGGGAGGAGAAGAGGCTGGAGGGGTGAGAAAGAGGCAGCAATGGGGACAGGCGCTAGGAGAGGCATGTTGGGCTCATGCCTCAGAGTCCTTGAATGTCGTGATAAGATGTCCAGGCCCCTCATCTCAGATGCAGTGGGAGGCTCTTTGCCTGTCTTCAGTGGCACTCCACAAGGCAACTTTCTCCAGCCACTACCAGACCCTGGGAGGTTCTCCCACCTTTACCGACAACACCGCTCTGCTTCGTGTCTCTGTCTCTCTGTCTCTGTCTCTCTCTCACACACAATCTCTCTGTCTCTGTCTCTCTGTCTCTTTATCTCTCTCTCTCTCTCTCTCTCTCTCTCACACACACACACACACACACAATTATTTGATTATTTTTCAGTGACTCTGTAATGGCTGTCACCATAGATCTTATGTCTAGGCTAAGAAACTGTATCTGACTTAGTTATTATTTTTCTCACCATGCTGTGACATATGTAATTTTTAAAAATAAGGAAAAAGAAGACAGCTCTAAAATTACTATGTAAAATATGACTGTGCAACTTCTTGGTGTACTTGGTGTGTAGCCCATTGTGAGTTACGGCGTTGCATGACTCCACGGGCAGGAACATAAATATGCATTTAGCCATAGACCACAGCTCACCATTCCCTAGGATCTGCTAACTCCTCCCTGCCCACTGGACAGCAGAAATGCCTGGTAGTCTAGTGGCAGGTAACAAGCAGACACGCCATGCTGAAGACCCAAAGAGCCTTCAATTCCTTTTGCAAAGGCAAGACTCACGGCCGAAGTGTCCACGCACACCAGGTTTGAGAGCTCCCACGAGTCTCCTCTGTTGGGGAAAATACTCACTGGTGTTTTCAGAATTCTCTATGCACCCCCAGCATAGCAGTCAGGGGAGAAATGGGAAATGTCCTCCGCACCTTGGAGCCCAGCTCTTGCCAAGAAGCAATCCAAAGTCATTTAGCTAGCTCTGCTCTCCCAGTACAATTATTCAGGCCCTGGAGAAGAATAGAAATGAGGTGTCTGCTGCCACTGCCTTCCGAGCAGGGGGTGGCTGGCTCTGAAAGCTCCCCAGGCTGACTTAGGATGACCAGACGAGAATCTGCGTAGGGCAATTTTGCCCCAGCCCTGGACGTCCATGCTCCAGCCAACACCTTCCGAGTGGACCTGTTCTGCCACCCAGCTGCTGGTGTTTCTTCCTACATGTTAAGTCTGAGCATCTAACTGATCTCTAGGAAGGGAAAATCAGAGCTTTTACTATAATCTCTATTCAGACTGTCTAGAACAGATGGGTCTGGTGTGCTACTGAGGAGGTGGTCCACCTGGTAGGACCTGAACGTGGGGTGAAGAAAAAGGGCATCACATGGAGATTCATGAAGATACCAAAAAAGCAGAGTTAGTGGGGGAAGGGAGTGAGCAGAGCTAAGAACTGAGCCCCCAGGGAAAAGCTAAATTCACTTTACCCAAGAAGAAAGTCATAATGAGTTGCTAACACCAAGGGACTGGAGACAGATATGAAGACAGAGCACTAAACCATCAACAAAAATATGATCTGCAGCGGAGGGACATGGGTTTACACGGGCTTCACTGGGTTCCTGGCTAACAGCCCCATGCACCTTACAGGGTGGCCACCTACAGCGTCTCCGTGCATTGCCACAGCTTTGGGGTGAGCATCCAGCCTTCCTTTACAACGTTTTTAGCTTCCCTGTCAATGTAAGAAATAAATATCACGCAAAAAATATAGAGGCCGGTGTCTCCGGGTGATAATCAAACCATTAATCTTCAGTCTAGAAATGCCTCAGATGAAGATTCAATATGGGTGACTGCTCAGAGCTGGGCTGCTCTAACCACAGATGTAGCTCCAGGTGGAGGTTTTGTGGACCACGGGTCCCCAAGTAGGCGGAGGCTGTCAGCATGGCCAGGTTTGGGCATAGTATGAAGAAGCATCCACTGGCCCAGACTTTGGTCCATAGAGTTTCTTTAGTTATCAGGCCATAGCATTCCATAGGGAAGGAGGCAGGTGTCCCTAGCACCTAATCTCTTAAGAGCCAGAAACTCTTTAAGCACCATCCAATAACGCCATAAACGTGTACAGAGTGAAGTATGAGGTGGGGGAGATTTTCAGTGGTACTCATGATGCACAGAGCAGACTTTCTAATTATGATAATCTCACCCAAAGTCCAAACTCCTAAACCAGCATGGTCTGGGAAGACATGCAGAATCTCAGAGCCCACCGCCTGGTTTGATATTTAGTTTCACCGTCGTATGCCCATGAGACCCAGGGTTTATAACCCATACTTTGCCAAACCCAGCTCAAATCCTGCCTCTTCAGAAAACTACCCCTTATTGTTCCTAGATGCTTTTCTGATCCCCTCCTCTTTCAAGTCCTAACAGTCTTGAGGTGTATCTTACAATTCAGTACTTGGTGAGTTCTGTCTTAGGCTGTTCTAATTGTTCCAGCGGAGAAAGCCCTGTTACAAAAGGATTACCAGCTACAGAAGAGTACCTTTCTCTCTTCTTCAGCAATGGGAACAGTTCAAAACACATTGTATGTTCTCAAGAAGGCCTGTGGGTTGGCTGACCCGTGTAGACGTAGGGTACACTGTAGCCAGAGCGACTGTAATTCCGTGGTACTAAATCACTCTCAAGGCTGAAATTACATGTAATGAAAGGCTTTTCCCTGGCTCCAAAACAGAACTAAACACCTCCTCTTTCTATCCCCTGAGGCTATGAATGGCCTCGCCATCTTCTGTCCTCTAACACAAATCAGAAATCCAGATTTAATCATGATCTTTGATTCTTCCTTCCTTCTTCCTCAGCCCCTAAAAACAGTTGCCCCCAAAGTCTTATGAATTCTTACCACTTCGCATCTCTCAGATGGTGTTACATCTCTCCATCACTCCTGTGACTGCAGTCACACCCTCATCATTCCAGTGAGGTTTTGAGCACAACCCCATCCTGCCTTTTTGTCTACTTCTGCACTGAGTGATTCATCAACCAAACCTCCAATCCATCATGCCTCTTAAAACCGTGTAGATAAAAGTCAAGCTGTTGTTTCCTACTGCTTCCAAGATTTGTTTAAATTACTTATCACAGTGTACAAGGTCCTCCTTCGTCATGAGCTCATAGAGACACTTCTTATCTCAATACCCTTTGGCTGAGTCACGATGACCAATTAGGAATTTCTTGAGGTCCATGCATTTTATGCAATAGTTTTTGCTCTGCAATACTCTAGCACCTCTACACCTACTTCTCAGGGCTCTGTCTGTCCTTCACGTCTCCACTCGAGCATTTTCTCCTTGTGAAAGCATTCCCAGAGTAGGGGAACCTACATTCAAATAATTCTCTACTAACATTCAAGTACTTAATACCTTGTGTTGTCATTACGAATCTCATTGACTGCCTTGGCTGTTATTAAACTAGACATTTGCCCCTTTTAGATCAGAAATTGTATCTCATTCATCTGTGAATACTCAGAGCTCAGCGCAGCGTCTGGCTCAATAAATAATTACCGGGTGCATAGATGAATAGAGAAAGAAAAGAATGAATATAACAATGAATGAATAGGTAACTGGGCAAAGGAATGAGGAGGTGAAAAATGAGTGACAGCACAGCACAACGCTTTAGCCAGCTCTGTGGTTGGTTTTCTGCTGCATGTAAATACTGCAACCTTGGGCTTCATCTCACTGCCTGAATTAACTCTGGGCAGCTTCATCTACTTCTTTGCATTCACGATCTCCTGTGGGTTCTCACCTCTAAAAATCTCTATTTCCAGGGAATGAGCTCATGAGTTTCAGACTCAAACGTGCACTTTCATAGTTGTATATCCCCACGCGGATGTTCCACAGACACTTAAAACTCAGAATGTCCCAAATTTATGAACTTTCTTCTATAACTCAGTTATTTGTGTTTCCTTTATCCATGAAAAGAATCATTTCTGTAAGTGCAATCCTTATTTCTCCAAACTTCAAATGTCCACATTCTATCCAGCCCTAGTATGTCTGCCTTATAAATATCTCATGCCATACCAGGCTCTCTCCAAATGCACTTGCATTACTCTAGCCTGGGAAACAACTCTGGCTCTCCTGGATGATTCCCGTTGTCTCCTGCTCTCACTGCTTGCATTTTGTCCTGCTCAAATCTACTCTCAACCCACCAGCCAGGCTGCTATTTCACAGTGAGCTCATCCCAGTGATTAAAACCCTTCAGTTGTTTTCCAGTATCCTCTGGCTAAAGGCCAAACTCTTTTGAAAAGTTTACCGTGCCCTTCCTGATCCTTCACCACTCAGCCTTGAACCTGATAACTCACTGCCTTCTGTCCCCATAATCTCCAATCATGTTAAACCGCTTTCTGCTCTTCAAAGAGAGGCTGTTGTCTGGGGCTCCAGGCTGACTCACATATGGCTCTTTCATTGTGAAACACCCTCCCTGATTTTGCCTATACAGCCTGCATGCCCCTTGGCTCAGGTGATCTATCATCTCCTATAAGAAGCCTCCCCTGCCCACTAGGTGGAGGCCCCTCCCATGTGCTTCCTACACTTCCTCTTACATAGGAATAATAGCACTTATCACATGATTATAATTTTCTGGTAATAGGTCTTTTCTACCACTCTGAGAACCATAACTTAACCATTAGATGAAGGATCAAGATAATGTGTGTGTTTGGAGGTGTCCATCATCAAGCAACTTTCATGTGAGCCTTTTCCTCTGATGCAAGTGATTAATAAATTTTCAGTCTAACACTAAGTGCTCTGTGATGCACAGAGTCAAGGCAATTCTCTCATACCTTGAGACCCATCTCTACTACTTAAAGAATATGTATATGACATTGAATGAATATTGAACACTTGACTAATGAACAGACATTTATGAAGGACCTGTAACATTTCCGAAATGTTGTTAAGATCCTAGGGGAATACAAAGATATTCCCCATCCATGAGAAGGGTAGGATCAGATTGAGAAGACAAACACATAAAAAGAATATTACTGTAGTGAAGAACATTGTCCCAGAGAATCTGTAAGAAAGACTTGCTTGGTGCTTGAAAATTCAAAAAGAAAAAAAAAAGTGGCCAGGCTCAGTTGCTCATGCTTGTAATTCCAGCATTTTGGAAGGCCAAGGTAGATAGAGTACTTGATCTCAGGAGCTCAAGACCAGCCAGGGCAACATGACAAAAACCTGTCTCTACCAAAAAAGTACAAAAATTAGTCAGGTGTAGTGGAGCACACCTGTAGTCCTAGCTGCCCAGGAGGCAGAGTGTGCAGTGAGCGGAGATTATGCCACTGCATATTAGCTTGTGCAACAGAGTCCTGTGTTGAAGGAAGCAAGGAAGGAAGGAAGGAGGGAGGGAGGGAGGGAGGGAGGGAGGGAAAGAGGGAGGGAGGGAGGGAGGGAGGGAGGGGAGGGAGGGAGGGAGGATGAAAGGAAAGGAAAGGAAAGGAAAGGAAAGGAAAGGAAAGGAAAGGAAAGGAAAGGAAAGGAAAGGAAAGGAAAGGAAAGGAAAGGAAAGGAAAGGAAAGGAAAGGAAAGGGAGGGGAGGGGAGGGGAGGGGAGGGGAGGGGAGGGGAGGGGAGGGGAGGGGAGGGGAGGGGAGGGGAGGGGAGGGGAGGGGAGGGGAGGGAAAGGAAAGGAGGGCAAGGCACAGAGGCTCATGCTCATAATCCCAGTACTTTGGGAGGCCTAGGCTGGCGGATCACGAGGTCAAGAGATCAAGACCATCCTGGCCAACATGGTGAAACCCTGTCTCTACTAAAATACAAAATAATAATAATAATAGCCAGGCATGGTGGTGCGTGTCTATAGTTCCAGCTACTCTGGAGGCCGAGGCAGGGGAATTGCTTGAAACAGGAAAACGGAAGTTGCAGTGAGCTGGGATTGCCCCACTGCACTCCAGCCTGGTGACAGAGTGAGACTCTGTCTCAAAAAAAAAAAGCAGGAAAGGAAAAGAAAGGAAAGGGAAGGGGAAGGGAAAGGGAATGGGGAGGGGGAGGAGGAAGGGGAAGGAGAAGGAAAGGGATAAATTCTCCAAGACATGACAGTAGTTAGCAGACTGCAGTGAAAAGAAATCAGTTTGCATTGAAATATATTCTAGGATTAGGAAGCCACGTTTTGGAAACAGCAAGACAAGGCAGGAATAAGTGTCACGCATTTGGGGGCTGTACAGAGAAAGAAAAGAGAAAAAATAGACATTTTTGAATAATGCCTATGTGCACATTACAATTTCATGTGAATTACTCACATTGTTTAATGCACTAGATTAAAAAGAAATGTTATATATTCTAAAAATTGCCCTGTTTTGACAAATAAAAAAAATATGAAGCTCTGAGAAGTTCAGTAAATTTCACAGGAGCCTCCAAAAGTTGCAGGACTAGGATTTCAACCCCAACTCTTTTGACTCCAAGTTTATTCCTTTCTTCTACCCTAGCAGGTGAAAGCCTAGACTGGCAAAGATTTAGTATGGGATGACGGTGGGAGTTAATGTCGAATCACAGCTGGGGAGCCCATACTGGAGAAAATGGCCTCTGTTATGGCCATTTTCCCCCATCTGATTCCCATTTCCACTTTAACGGTTTGAGAACAATATCTGAGTCCTCTGAATAGTCACAATTTTTTTTTTTTTTTTTTGAGACGGAGTTTTGCTCTGTCACCCAGGCTGGAGTGCAGTGGTGTGACCTCAGCCCACTGTAACCTCTGCCTCCTGAGTTCAAGCAATTCACTTGCATCAGCATCCAGAGTAGCTGGGATTACAGGTGCATGCCACCATACCCAGCTAATTTGTCTGTGTGTGTATTTTTGTAGAGATGGGGTTTCACCAAGTTGCCCAGGCTGGTCTCAAATTTCTAACCTCAGGTAATCCACCTGCCTCAGCCTCCCAAAGTGCTGGGATTACAGGCAAGAGCCATGGCTCCCAACCTTGAATAGTCACAATTAGACTACTTTTCAGTCCACGGACCAAGGAGTAAATATTTTGGATTGTTCTCTGTTGAATTTTTAGGGATATGTGTACATGAACTGGTTCTTGGGTAGTATATATGAAGTATTCAGCAGTCATACGACATGTGACTTTCTCTCTTGCTTTATAGGCAATCTGTGAGAATGTCTGGTTTAACACTCAAAGAGTCAAAAGAAAAGCACGACGTCTACACAATAGCCTTTTCACTTATTGCTGGTGCCCCTCACTCTCTTTGGGAAGCTCCCCGTATCATGCCCAATGGAGAAGGGATTTGCTGAGCCTTCATGTGCTCATAGAACCTGTCTTAAGATTTGCTTCAACTACGAAAATGCTTTCACCTTTATTCTAATATAAGTTGCTATTTTTCCCCTTAGAATGTGTAACTATGGTTTTCGTAGACTAAATCATGCCAATAAATACTTTCACATATTGCCGGTAGGAGTATAAATGGATTCAACCATTTTGGAAGGCAAATTGGAAATATGTATCAAGAACTTTAAAAATGTCACTTTGGTACAATAATAACACTTCTTTGACTTTATCCTGAGAAAATTACCCAAGAGAGACATGGAGATAACACCTTCATTTCAAACATACTCATCATGGATTATTTATAAAAAACATTGTAAACGATGAACAAAAGGGTACCTCCAGATAGAAATGTTTATTTCAAAGTTTGTATAACGACATGAAGCAGGTAACTTTTGGTGGTAAGTGACAAAAGAAGGATATAAAATGGTAGGTGGAGTATGAAAACTGAAAATCAGTATGCACTGGGGAAGATTTAATTAAACTACACCAAAATGTAGACATGTTAGGGTGGCATGATAAATAATAGATTGTTTTCTACATTTCTACACCTAAAATTTTTTAAACAATGATGATGTTTGTTTTTATAATCAGAAAAAACTTTATTGTTTAAAGAGCTTTTCCTTGCTGATATTATAGACAAAAGAGAATAGTAGAAATTGGAAGGTACTAGTTTCATAAATCAGAAGCAAAAGAAAGACTTTGAGACATATCTCAAAAGACATGTTGACATAAGTAAGTTAAGTAGCAATAGTTCAGTCTGTGTGGTCAGATGTTTGCAAATTCTAGAATGACCTGCAGACACCCTTCCAGTTGCAAGGAGAGAGAAGAATCTCAACTGTATGACAGTCCCAAAGAAATCCTGAACAACAATTTGCTCTGGCTCCTAAAATAAAGAGAGAGATTGCAGAATTGAATAAAGTTGCAGAAAACAGAGGGATGTCTGACAAACAGATAATCAGAATCTTCTAAGGAGAGGAGAAATGTGACATTCACAACTAGCTTTAAAAATAGTGATCTTTAAATCCTGAGTAGCGTCACAGTCACATGAGAATAGGTGGAGCCTTGGCAGCCACATTTACATGGGAGAATCTAGACCGAGCATCTAAAGAGTTGTGATTCAGTACGTGTGTGTTTCAGGAGGCTCTTCCCTAGCACAGCACACCGCCAAACCCACACTGTCTACCCTGGTGTGAACTCAGAGCCGCAGCGTGGCAGAAAGAACTGCGAGTCAGTCTCCCTCAGTCTCGAGGCCCCAGAGTCTGACGCGGCTGTAGGTGGTGCCGCTCACGGATGAGATCAGCCACTTCATGCAGCCAGTGCAGAACAGTCACTCTCCCAATATAGCAGGGACTGACTAACGCGGTGGTAATGCCGGGAAGATGCTGGCACCTCTGGGAGAATATCAACATGCTCCTTGGTCTGGGCTAAAGGCTGCATCAGAGGGGAAGGTGTTATAGATGGAGGATTTTTTTTTATAAGATGCACACAAAAATCTCTCTGGCATCATTTCACCAACATGTCACTTTAAACATGTTTGTCCATATATAAAGCCACAGACCATTACACTAAGTGAGATGCCAACTGCCTGTTCTCAACCACTGTTCATCATTCATGCTAAAGACAGCATAACTACTTCACTCATTCAAACTCTAGTGCTCGTGAGAAACAACCCGATTGATGCCTATCCTTTAGTGTCTGAGCTGTAGGCCCCAAAAGAGGCCCAGGAATTTTCATTTGTATAAGCATCTCCATTCATTAGGATAGAGGAAGTCCAGAGATTGAACTAAGAAATGCTGCTCTGGGCTATCTGTTTATCAATCAGTGAACAAAACTTTTTAAACTACTATCAGTTTCACAAATATGAGGAACTAACACAAGTTCTTAACAACGCTGATGTTGCTGGTTCTAAATTGAACACAAGTACCATCAATATTTTTATTTAAGAGTTGGATGGAGACGACTAGATATTATGACTCTGAAATCTTCAGATGCCCTAGGCAGAATGAGATAACCAAAACATCAAATGGTAGAATCAGGACTTTAAAACGTTCTGGCATATTGGAAACAGCAGATCGAAGCTAACCAGATAAAAATAAACATGTATAAATAACCAGTTCTGTATTGTGAGTCAAATAGTGGCATGTTCAAGGATGAAAGCCCTGCTTTAGTAGGTAAACAAGGCCCAGAAGTTTGAAATTAAGTCACCTAGACAGATAGGATTGCATGCCAACATTTAGTGCTCATGACAGAAAAAAGAATGGCCCCAATATATCACGCTGTGCACTCCACACCTGGAGTGCTGGATTCTGTGTTGGGAGCCACATTTTAAGAAAAAAATTGCAAATTGAGACTCATCCAATAGTAAACATTTTGATGGTAAAGGCCTGGAAAACCATTTCCTACGAAGAAAAGTGAAGGAATGAGGAATGTTTACCCTGGAAAATAGAGGACTTGGGAGAGAAATAAGCTGTTGTCAAACCTATGAAAGGCACTCATGAAAGAATAATTCAATTCACTCTTTGTTGTTCCAAAGAGCAAAACTGAGGTTGATGGGGATAATAATATAAACCATAACGCAACTGGGAGCACTGCTGACCTGTGCTCCCCACCTCACCTTTGTGACGGTGCTCCCCGCACATGCCCCGTTCCCATCTCATAGATAAGTCATCTGTGAGGGCTCCTTCCTCCAGGCCCTCACCACCCCGGCCCTTGTACTGAAATAGGCTCTCTTACCTGTCTACCTGGCTGACATCTACACAGTATTGAGGGCTTGATTCTCTCCTCCTCTGTGAAATCTTGGCACCAACACCTACAACAAAAAGACTGCCACTGAGGTGTCATCCTCTGTGTACCCCCAGGCACCACAGACTTCATCACAGCCACCTCCCCTGGTGGGTGAACAACTGTGCACACTCCTGCTTCATTTTCTGGGGTACAACCTAGCCCCCAACAGAACCTTAGGAAATCAGAGAGAAATAAAGAATGAGAAAGATATAGAAAAAGAATTAGTCATGTAGCCATGTAGCTAATTTACTTACACCTCCTGGATGTAAACCAAATCAGCAGTAAGAACCAAGCTAGAAGCTTCACCCTTAGAAAAGGTGTTAAGATATGACTAATGACATGCTTTTTTTAAAAATTATACTTTAAGTTCTGGGGTACATGTACAGATCATGCAGGTTTATTACATAGGTATACACGTGCCATGGTAGTGGTTTGCCACATCCATCACCCTGTCATCTACATTAGGTATTTCTCCTAATGCTGTCCCTCCCCAATCTCCCCACCCTCTGCTATTCCTTCCCCAGCCCCCAACCCCAGGCCTCGGTGTGTGATATTCCCCTCCCTGTGTCTGCGTGTTCTCTTTGTTCAATGAACACTTATGAGTGAGAGCATGTGGTGACACGCTTTGAAAAGAGATCAGTCTACAGAGATGAGAACTCAGCCTGATACACCACCATGAGCTCTCCTTATATGAAAAACACACGGCATATTTGCAGGGAACTCTTGGTAGGAGATGCAAAGAGAGAGAATAGAAATGTTCCTTGAAGCAGAAGAAACATAATCTTGATCATTTGTTTGACTGTAGTTCTCTAATTTGAGTGCTAGTATTTCTAAGATAAACTAGAGTGTTTATACTTAAAGCTTATTTATCCTGAACCAGTAGGATGTCATTATATATAAAGACAATATTATGAAAACCAAAATTATCCCAAGCTAGTATATAAAATAAAGACATCAACATGTCTTTATCATGTTGCACTGAGTATATGTAATAACACATTATATTGTATAATAAAAGTAGCTATGATACTACATAAAAGTAGCTTAAAATGAAGGTGGGGAGTAATAACACTGCAATTCCGATGTGTTATTAGCCATCCTATTTTGTAGTTCCCCAAATCTTCAGAGTACAAATTATTTGTCAATTTCCCTATACTCTAGAAGGCCATGAGACAGCTGAAGACGAAGGGACAATGATGTCCCAATAGCACGAGCTTAAATAAGAGCCAGATTTCTCCAAAGAAGATACATAAAGTGTCAATGACCACATGTAAAGATGCTCGACATCATTAGTCATCAGTGGAATGCAAATGAAAACCTCAGTTAGCTACCATTTCACAACCCATTTGGATGGCTATAATCAAAAGACAGGTAATAACAAGTGTTGACAAGGATATGGGAAAATCAGAATGTAATTTGATTTACTGCACTACTGTGAGAATGTAATATGGTGCAGCTGGGCATTTCTTCAAATGATTACACAGAGAGTTACCATTTAATCTAGCAATTTCACTCTTAGGTAGATATCCAAGAGAAATGAAAATATGTCCACCAAAAAAAAAAGCACTTATACACAAATGTTGATAGCAGCATTCTTTATAACAGCCAAAAGGTAGAAAGAATTCCAATTGACCGCCAACTGATGAATAGACGAACAGAATGTGGTATATAAAAAGATGGAATATTATATGGGCATAAAAGGGATGAAATACCAATGCATGCTACAATATGAATGAACCTTGAAAGCACTATGCTAAATGAAAGAAGCTAAACACCAAAGGCCACATATTAGTTTCCATTTTATGTAGCATCTAAACTGGGCAAATCTATAGAGACAGAAAGCCTATTAGTTGTTGTCAGAGATTGGAAGAGTTTCTTGGTGAGTGAGATTGCTAAAGGGTACCAGTTTAATTTAAGGGTTATAAAGACTTTCTAATACTGATTTTGATAGTCCATGTGTCTATAAATATATTAAAAACAAAGGAACTATATACTTTAAATGGGAAAATTGTATGGCATGTGAATTATATTTCAAAAAACTGTTAATCAAAAAAAATAATCCAAAAACCACAGAAGAAAAATAACTAAAGAAGGTATTTTTCAAATGCCGCAACATTCTGATCTTTGGGAAAAATACGATAGGACGGATTCTGAAAACAAGGCCCTAAACAACTTTTCTGATAGTTTAATCCTAGTGTCCAAGAAACTGGTCAGGTGTTCCCTTCGGAAAATACCTGGTGCACCAAATCTGAAATTCAAATATTTAGAAGAAGTATAAATTTCCTGGTAAACAATAACAATGTCCCTAGAGAGCATGCAAATTATATAACCATACCATCTCGGAGGAGAATATCTGTGACAAGAAAATGCATTCTTGTCTCTCCAGCCTTGAGGTCTCCTGGATTAAGACATATTTTTAGACTATTAAAACCATCCAAAGAGAGAGAGAGATTGTTTTATCCTGCCCAGGATCACAAGACTCCAGGGTGGAGAACCTTATCCATCAACCCAGGCATTTTCTAGATGAAAAGACCGAAGCCCAGCATAAGGAACTTCCTTTTCTGTGGTCCCTCACTTGCAGTAGCAGAGTGAAAACTCACCCCAGAGCTCTGCCTCCTCACCTCCACACCCTCTTGACCCATGCCAGGGCTCCTGAAATGTGCACCAAGTTTGTCAGCAAAGAGTGGATGGACATTCTGGTTTCTCCAGAATTTGTGTTCAGGTTGTGGCCACCACTGCTGTGCTGCAGGGTGAGTTGGGATGAGGGCAGGTCGGGAGTAACTGCTCCATAATTTACTAATTCCCAGAGAACATTTCCATCTAAAGATTGCCCTTAAGCAGGACGCTTATGTCTGGGCCTCTCATCTCTGGGGCTGTTCCTTCATTTCTGTTCAGTAAAAACATTTATCCAGGGCTCCAAATTCCCCATCCATTATGCACTTTTTATCCAAGCGGGAACAGACCAAAGGTCTGAAGTACAGGCACAGCATGCCCTGCCCTTCACGGGCTGTCTCCCACCTCTTTAGCATCTTCTAGTTCATGGGTTTCCACAGAGAGTCAGGCATCTGTGAGGACTGAGCAAGTTTGCACTGGGTCTGCCAAGTCACACAGGATCTAGGCAAGAGCCCACTTGCCAACTCTCATCATTTTCCTCCTGGGCCCCGGTCAACAACCTGAGCTTCTCCCCCATTCTCGGTTACACATATTAATAAAAATACATGGTCACAGCAATAGAAATTGAAAAACTCTCTCACTGTCATAAACAAAGTGGAAAAGTGAGTCTCCTCTGTTCTTTCAGCCACTGCAAAGCTGCTCATTAACCATCATTTCAGATGAGTTAAGCTGCTTGGCTCCAGTCACACAGCAATCAGGGAATGAACGGGCTGGTTCTCAGTCTTCTAACTCCAAGCTCATGACTGACGTGTGTGTTTCCTACACCTAAATGTGGGTCCATCTTGTGCACATAAAGCAGACCATGAGTCTATCCACAACTGGAGTCTTGCTCACGACTGAGTCCTGTTGATTCTCACCTAAGACCTTCCATCAGCATGGAGGTGGGAGGTTCCCAGGTAGACAGGAGAGCAGTGAATTTGTGACTAGGAGGTGGAGGCTAAGCAGTCAAAAATCCCTCCGGGAAAGCCACAGCCTCCAGGAAAGAACACTACCCAGGCTGTGTGCCATCCCAAGTCCATTCTCCTGGAACATGCTCCATTCCTACTAGAAATGCCAAATGCCTACGTAGCCGTGATGTGCTAAGGAGAGCTACAGGCTCTATCCACAGCCAGATTTGATGTAGGATTTCTAAGTCCCTTTCGGCTCTGGGACTGATACGATGGCAACGACCATGATAACCTCCATTTTTGGATTGCTCATGTGACATTTTAAAATGAAACTATTAAACTTATACCAATAAAAATAGTAGAAATCTATTGCCCAGTTAGCAAAATTAAATGAAAACAATGCTTTTTTCTATGAATTTAATTCAACAACAGTTTGTTAATTACTTGCCCTATCTCAGATTTTGTGCTTTGCCATGAAGATCCAAAATTGAATGAAGACATGGGACGTGACCTTAAGGAGCTCACAGTCTAGCAGAAGAAACACAGGCATGGGTGCACACACACAAACACAATCTAAATATGATTGGGTGAGGGTGACTGGATGGAGGTGCACAGCACTGTGAGCACAGAATGAGAGCCATGTGTGTTGAGAAAGCCTTCAAAAGAGGTGACATTTGAGCAGAGAGAAAACAAGGAAAACAAGTTGGGTCTTTGTACTCTAGCAAGGACACTTTAATAACTCTCTGAACCCTGGCTCCCAGCAATGAATTTTTAAAAGTATGGTATACATAGTACAGCCATGTTCCACGCCCCAACCTGCTTTCTTGGAGACATAATGCAATTTCTTTCTGTAAAATAACAGAACAGGAGGTTTTCAAGTCTCTAGATGGCCTTTTGAGGGCTAGTAGATGAAAATGTCCCATCAAAGGTTGGGTGTGGTTGCTCATGCCGATAATCCCAGCACTTTGGGAGGCCAAGGCAGGCAGATCACGAAGTCAAGAGATTGAGATCATCCTGGACAACATAGTGAAATCCCATCTCCACTGAAAATACAAAAATTAGCTGGGTGCGGTGGTGGCATGTGCTTGTAGTCCCAGCTACTCGGGAGACTGAGGCAGGGGAATGGCTTGAAACTGGGAGGCAGAGGTTGCAGTGAGCCGAGATCACACCACTGCACTCCAGCCTGACAGAGTGAGAGATTCTGTCTCAAAATAAAAAAAAAGTCCCATTAAATGCATATAATGCCTTCCTACTTATCCAAATAATATTTTTGGACCCGTAATCTGCCTGCAATACTCTTGTTTAATGATCAGTGGTTTTGTTATTGTGACTAGAGCTGGTAGCTTTTATTGATGAAGTTTTCCACTTGGTAATTGCTAGCAAATTAAAAACAGTGTTGATTTTCTATCTTGTATCTGGACATCTTGCTAAGAACTCTTACTAGTTTTTGCAATTGTTTGATTCT